CACTTCTCTGTTAATGTAACCCATTACCAAGAATCATTTCTGCCCAATTTCCCAATCACAATGAAGCATACGTTTGGCGGTCATGAGAAACCTTTTAATGTTACTGTTATAATCTTTGGTGGTTCATTTTGGGTTTTTTTCCACCCTCATGACACACGACAGAACCTTTCATCTGTATCCGGCTTATGCAGCAGAGGAGCAATACTTGAAATTAAAACGAGTTACATCTGAATTCTACATATTAATAAAGACGGTGTAAAGACTTTTTATTTACCCCTTTACTTTGAGGATACTTTGACTTTTTCATGTTTAGTTGGTTGTTTTATCTGAATATGCTCTTGTTTTGAAAAAGGAAAAGCATTTTGACATCAATGCTTAAACTTATACAGACTTGTAGATATACTCATAGACTTGTTAGTTAAATAAATGCATTACAAGGGACCAGTTGCACAGCATAAATCAATTAGTGGCTTTTAAGAAAATGTATATATGTTAACCATTGTTTTGTAGTGCTTCGAAGATTTTAAAAAATCTGTCCTTTTTTTCTGTTCTATAATTAGGACACATTACATGTATTAAAGACATTGCCTTTTTAACCTTGAATGTGCATCTTTAATTATGCATAGATAACTAACAAATATAAGCATTACTAAGCATACAGGGCACCAAATAAATGTCACAGTATCTCTGTAAGGCCACAACAATTTACGTCAGGTTGCAAGCAGGAAAACTTCATGAAACAGTGGAAAGGGTAAGGAGAGTCCTAAGAGAACAGTTTTGGGTATTTCTGGAGAAGAGGCGACCAGAGTGAGGCAGACACAGGGAAGCTGAGGGTTGCTGTTCTCTCAGAAACAACAAGACGAGTCAACAACAAAACAGGAACAACAACAACAACAACAACAGAACAACAGACCAGGGACAACACGTCAGTGACAGACAGTGAGAAAGTGAAGAAAGGGAGAGGATTTTCTAACCTAATGTGACTGTGGGTAAAACCTGGGTCAAATCAAAACTTGAATTCCTCCTAATACACACAGATTGACTAAAGACAGCGACAGACTTTTGCAAAATCCTGGGAATCTGTTCTGAATTAGTACTGCACAACCCCTTGAGAGTGGCTGAAATAAATACAGAAACATTGGATTTTCCACCTGCGTTTGACCCAGAGCTTACACCACACACCATAAAAGGGAAAAAAAGATGAGAAGGAGGAGGAGGAGGAGGAGGAGGAGGGAGACGAGGAGGCAGGGGAGGAGAGATGTGAAAGATATGGTTTGGTTACCTTTAATCTGGTTGCTCTCCATATTGCCATCTTGCATTTTACCTATGATGGAGACATACAAGACAATAACAACAAAAATAACCAAGGCAGACAGGTCAACAAATTATCACCACAGAGACGACACAAACAGTGAGAACCAAAAATCACAAACAGGGAGACAGGAAAATGACTTTTAATACAACATCTCTGTGACAGTCACATAGAAAGGCTTGTGATTCGTAAGTGATGTTATGTAACTTGTAGCTACATCCACTGGCAAGGACTTCATAAAACAAAAATCAATTGTGCTATTCTAACTGTAATCACAGACACAGTGCAGTGTGCAGATGTTCTTGTAATGATGCTGAAGGACCGGAAGTTGTAATAGACTTGCAAACAATCCGGTAATTAAAACAATTAACAGGCTTTTCTGAAACAAAAAATTGAAAAAACCATTTGACAAAAAAATGTGCGACATAACGTTGTGCTCGACATGAAAAACTGCATACTTTCTTGTTTGATGTTCAGTATTGTCCTGAATGACATACCCACTACAAGCACAGGTGCTGTAGCTCCGCACACAGTATCAACAATATGAGTCAAATCATCAGGTTATAAGATGAGGATATAAGACGAACAGCAAATACAGCATTACACTGAACGCTGACAGGGAGGGAGGGCACGTCACAAACACACACGTATAAGAGACAGCATGCACAAGAGGAAAGCTCAGAAAGCACATGCAAGATCACACATTTAGAGGGAAGCAGACTGGAGATGTAAACAATACAGAGAGAGAGAGAGAGAGAGAGAGAGAGAGAGAGCCTGAAGGAAAGCCTCCCACATGGTGAAGTTACATAAGAACAAGTGGAGAAAAATCGAAAAGTAAGTTCGGGGACAGTGAATTTATTATACTGTTGGTTTCTGCTCAAAAGGAGTAAACTTGTTTGAATGTGCAATTCAAACTAACAACACAGTTGGACTTACACACACATATAAATCTATCTATCTATCTGTCCATCTATCTATCTGTTTATCTATCAAGGGTGCAAGATACATGTATCTGTATCGAACCGTTCCATACAGTGGTCTCGATTCAGTACGCCCTATTAATTGAACAATACGCAATTTCTTTTTTTTTTTTTAATCAACTTCTGACGAGGCGCTCTGTGCTGACCTCAGTGGTTCTGCACTCCACTTCTCCGGGCTGCATTGTCCAGTGCAGATCCACTGAGAGCGCACGTCTCCCACACTCATTCAGTCCAAGTTACTGAGACAGAGGCTACATGCGAGGCTAGCTCATTGCAACGTGGCTAATGATTTAACGGAAGCTGAAGATCCTCCGTCGTCCTTCAGATCTCGCATCTGGGACTACTTTGGTTTTCGTGTTAAGCATGACCCTGATGTCGGGGACAAAAATACAGCAGTATGTTGCAAGTGTAACACGATGCTAAACTACGTCAGTGGAAATACAACAAACATGAACACGCATTTACGCTGACATCACCGCGGTATGAAAACAAGTGGAACCAGACAAAACCAACAAGCAGCACACATAGTACAAACTATATCCGAGTCATTTAGACAACCATCAGCGCTCCAGAAGATGAGCGAGCTGTAGCTCCATCAGAGAGTGATTTAATTTTTCATAAACAAGTATAAGAAGGCAAGGAAATTTCTCTTCTATGTATCGAAAAAGTATCGAATCGTGACAAAAACATATCGAACTGAACCTTCAATACATATATCCTATATATCATATATATAAATATATAGATATAGATATATAGATATATAGATATATCGTTTTAAGCTGAATTAGAATACGTCTAACTCTTGTAAAGAGACTTGTACCTTCAAACCAAATATACACACACTCTTCACAAAATAAGACATTATATTAAGAAATCATACATAATACACCTCAGTGTTGATCCCATTACCTTCCTATACTGTAAATACATAGATATGCACTTTTTGTTCAATGGCACTTATCCAGATTGTTTTCTCCTGACTAGATCCTTGCTTGTGTTGTATCTGCTCTCAGATGTACGTCGCTTTGGATAAAAGCATCTGCTAAGTGAAATTGTAGAATTGTGTCGGTGGACCAGAAATTGTACAAAATCGGTCTTTCAGGGCTTCGTACATAAATGTCACTGAGAAAATTATTCAGGTAGGGCTGGAGGAGCAGCAGACAAGAGGCGGCTCATTTCACCTCCACTTCCACATTAACCGGGTCCCTGGAGTCACAGTAAAGCTGAAGATGACAAATCACTCTGTTCCAGCCCAGAACAGTACAAGGTCACCATTACAGCGCAAATCACGCCCCTCCTGCCTCTCCTGCCTTGAGTACAAACACTTTCGGGGCTGCTCTCCAAGGAGGCAAAGATAAGAGAGAAGCTAGTGCAACAATGAATGAAGTTAATCTTTTTGCATCTTGTCCAGCTAACACAGAAATAGAGGATTTGCACTAAGTGATCTCAGAGGACACCCAACAAGAGGAGATGGCCCCAAAGAAGGATTTGGCCACCACTCACCAATCAGCTAATGTCTTCTATCCAGTCAGAAATCTAGATTAATATAATTACAACTGTATTCATTGTAATTACAAGACCAAAATATAGCCCAAAAGCACCATTTAGAAAGAAACCACTCTACATTTTGAAAAGTACGGTCATCCAACGAGAGGAGATTGATATCAGTTGGCTGAACTTAGCTCTATTGATCTGTTTCTTGAAAAATTCTTTACTTCCAACAATGTCAAAAGATTCCTCTAAAGACACCCCAGTTTGAATGTTGAAGGGCTTTACAAATGCTATCTTCACAAAAAGTTTCACTGCTGTTTACTATCACAGACACCGAATGAAGGACAGTATCATATTAGTTTTGGTTTTAGTTTAAAGATCCATAAAAAACAATCCCCAATCATATCAAATGGTTCCATGGCAGCTGTCTACTACGTACATTACAAGCATTACAAGGCAAAAGACAGAATTATGGGGAAGAACAAGGAACACAAGACTCATTTTCTACAACTAAAGTAGGCATGCACTGACAGCATGGATACAAAAAAGGTCCAAAATACAACTGAGACAGAAGGCACAAACAGAGCAGGAGGTGAACACCCACGGTAGGAGGCAGTTGGAGAATGGAGAAGGTAGGAGGAATCAAAAGTCACAACAGAAAGAGGTCACAGATCAGAGGTTTTGTCAACCTACCATTAATTAGGCTGGCACTGCCTGGGGCATTAATGCCTGCAGCCCCATCCGTGGCTATAGTTGCGATGGGGTGGATAGGGGGATGGGAGCAGTCTAGCCAGTAACAATGAGGGCCGAACACGAATGAACAAACACACACACACACACACACACACCCACACACACACACACACACACACACCCGCACGTGCATACACAAGACAGTGAACAGAAATAACATGGTTATAGCACATTTAAGAGATTCAGCATATGTAGATTGTATGTAAAGACTGTGATCAGTGTGGATTATAATGTGTGTCTGCAAATGAAATTGTTATTATTTTATGTCCAACTAGTGTGATGCACTAGAAGTAGGAGGTTTAGTAAAAACGTCACTAAACAAACACGTTTTACAGTGGACAGACATGAAACATGAATGAATCTGAACATAACATGTAGAAAACAATTTAATAGAAAGTGAAAGCTACACACATGATTTAAGAAAAGTTCTCAGTTTGAGAATAGTGTGTGTGCTGTATATTATATATATTATCCTGTCAGTACCATAGCTCTTGTATTTTACTTCTGTCAGATCATGTTTCGGTCTTGATTGTGTTTTGACTGCATATATTGTCAATTCTGACTTTCATTTTTGGCAATGTGAAGTTTATTTCAACCATGTTATTCATGTAATATCGTTTAGCATCACAAAATCATAATTTGCGCCAACAACCTAAAAAAAAAAAAAAAAAGCTCAAAAGTGTTGCATAATCAATCTCAAATTAAACTCCCCAATGCAAAATGAACAAAACATAAGAGGGATCTAGTTATTAGGCAGGGAAATACACATGTGCCAACCAGTTAGGTGGATGAACTTTGACATTGTAAATATGAAAAAGTGTCACTGTTTTCACCTTAACCTTGTAGCTATAGTTAGTCTTACAGTTGTTTTGAAAACTTGAGTGGGATTTTTGCTGAGGGTTTTCTTTTCTTTCTTTTTTTTGTGTCTCCTGACAAAGCGACATAAACCATAAATACTCGACAAAGGAAATTTAGTCAGTGGGGTCAGTAATGATGTTTTTGTGTCCTTTTGGTTTTTGCGGCCAGAGTTCACCGTTAACACACGCTGACTTGTAACTGAAAGCTTTATCACAACTCTACACTTCATTTATCATCTAACTGAAAGGCAATTCCTGCTTTGAATAACACACCACCTTAAAATTTTGGTGTAAAATGTTTGCAATCACGAGCGGTGCTTTGTCAGCAAATCCATCTGTTTAAATCCAACATCTGGCTAATGTGAGCCTTTAAAAAGTGTCAGTTGCCTAAATGTTACTGTCATCTCAACAAGTTACATAGCGGTGAAATTGTGAAAATACCAATCTGAAAAAAAACGTGCAACTTTAAATCAAGGATCACAAATGATCAGTTTTGTATTGGCTTAAAGGGATTTTCACTGAAAGACAGTTCAAAGTAAATTTGAATATGATTCTGTGTTAAACTGAACAGTTTGTTATTCATGGATCAGACACCAGGGATTATTTTCTGATCACATCAAATAAAACTAAAAAAATACTTCATTTTACCACTGTGACACAGCCAAAATCATGTTATTTCGGCACTGCAATTATAGAACAAGTAAAATCAGGAAGACAAATAGTATCTGTGGGTTTTCAAATCAGAGGAAGGTCTCAGAAGATGACAGTGATTATTGCTATCTCTTACACAATGGAAAATCTGAAACAGCACTCAAGTAAAATGCTTCAAGACATACATTTTCCATGCAAGCTACTCTAGTATCTGCTCATTTAAAAACACTACTAATGTTAAAATATTCATAGATACATATGTACAATGTAAAAATAACATCTTACAAAAGCTTACAGTGTCTACTTTACTGTCTACTGCTGGTACATGTGCTGTACACCTGCAAGGCGGTCGCTCTCATGTCATTGTTCTGTAATACAGCAATGAGATGAGTCTGACAGGCTACTTTTATTTATGGCATTCAACATGTACATGAAACAGCGCTAATGTTGGATGCTAGCTAGTTAGTTTGATGAGTGCAGTGCCAGTTACGGGGAGAGGGAAGAACTATGCATCGTGAAATGTGTCATCTGTCAGCACTTAAAAAGATGCGGTGTTGTAATTATGAAGCTTCTCTTTTTAAGTGAGGATTTCAGCTAGAGCAAGGGTGCTTCAGGAAAGGGGGGTGAATATTAACGGTGGTTTACTGGGAATCACTTGGGGTTAAAGAGGAAAAGGATCAAGTACCACTCCCAGGGGTCAGAGAAAGGTGATACTCTACCTGTGTTCTGGTGTCCGTCTTCCACTGCCCCTCCTTCGAGGCGAATTTGGAACGATAAGAGAGTAATGACAATGATGCACCTGAACCCACAGAACCTGGATACTGCAGCTCACAACTATACCACCAACACTCATCATGTATAGTATTTATACACATTCAGCTTAGGGTCAGGTACTGCACTACAAATACCTACAAAGGTTTATACAGACACTAAACAGGTGGACATTCGTTCATTTGTACGTTTATTGTTTAGAACCCTTCTGATAACAAGGACAGTTAAAAAAAACACTGATATTATGCAATGAGTGCACACAGACTTTAAGCACAAAAGGTAAAGACAAAAGCTCGCTTTCAAGGGTACGTTGCTGGGCAACACTGGCAAAAAAAACAACAACAACAAAAAAAACAAATGACCTCAGTATTCCTGAAGAAAGTGCAGGAAATTTTTACAGACCATGTTGTATGGATAAAAACTATTTTAGGACATCATGATCTTACCTTTCTTTTCTTTCTTCTCCTCTTCCTCCACACCAGCCCCCAGCAGGGTGAAGATGATTCCAGTCTGAGAATTGACACCGACAGCAGTCACCACCATGCGCCCTGACCCCTCCATTACATGGGTCCCTGAAGACAGAGCAGCACACTGTTATAATAAGCTACTACAGATAGATTAGATATTTCCAACGTCTGCTATTCCTGCAATGAGTGTGCAATGAGCATTTGTATTACTAAAATCTGAGTGAAACTATGATCTCCACCCAATTCTGGAGCCTCCATCTCATCAGACTTTGACAGACCAGGGAAGCACACGTTACAGATTTTGTAATACAGATTTATAGCCATAATACTGTGTTCATAGGAAACTGATATTTTGTGCAGAGTGAGTATATTCATTTTCAAATTTTAGAGTAGCCACAACGTTCATACTAGCAGCACATTTCTATTGCAAGAAGAACTAGAAGTGACCTGGTCAAACAAGAACATTCACCTATTGAAGGAACTGGGTATGTTAATTGTGGCTGGCCTGCTGCACTGACCTAAAACTGGAGGACTGCTGTATATTTCAAAAGGGTTTCACTTTCAGAAAACCTTCGAAACATTATTAAAGCCAAAAGTCAGTACTGAACCTCATTTGCAGTTTTAAATCGAATGTACTCTAGTGAAGAGCTGGAAGCTGGAAAAATGTGTCATTGTATAAATGTGTGCAAACTATTGAATGAATTAGACTTCTGTGTATATATAGTATATATAGCATATATTGTGTATACACACACACACGCACACACACACACACATTGAAAATCATTAACCTTTGGGAGAGCAAGTCAATGTGGGTGAATATTAGGCTAATTAAGGAAGGCAGCAAAAAGGCACAAAGCTAATTATCCACAGGAAAAAATACTCAGATGTGAAATCAGATTAACCCACATTTCTGTTATCAGTGATATTCATTTCTAAGAACCACAACTGCTAATTCTGGTTTCTCTGCAGCAGCAAATACCAAACCAATGAAGAGGAGCACTGCATTAAAAAAGTGTCTTTCAGGCTGTCGCCGGTGTCTTCTGCCTTAATACTCACATTGCAGTTAACACGTTTTGTGCCTTCTCTCTAAAAAAGTGACGTGACGATGAGTTACTGTATAATTCATCAGATCTTATTCACAACAGATTTAGTTTAAAAAAAAGCTCATCAAATGATTAACAGCATGCAAACCTTAGTAATAACACAACTTGAAATATTTCTCTAAGGCTTTGATGGGGAAGGTCAACATTATTTTTGTTTGTGTATAAAAAAGCATCAATATTAGCCACTTAATAAAACATTAGAAATCTGTATTTCTGTCATTTATTACATTGGGGTTGTAATTGCAACAAATCAACCTATTTCATTTACCTATTATCAGTATTGATGCAGGACAGGAGCTGCTTAATTATTCGTCTGTACTTTACAAATCAACATGCAGTAAAACATGAGCGTTACAAACATCATATACCAACCAGACACATACCAGATAACAGCATGGGGTCCTTGTCTGCAGACTTCTTGACGTGGTCAGACTCTCCGGTCAATGATGACTCATCAATCTTCAGGTCGTTGCCTTGGATCAACACTCCATCAGCAGGAAGCAGATCACCTGCAACAACGCACAATGAAATAGTTAGAATAACTCCAAAGATTCATTCAAGGCCTACTGTAATGTAGACTAGACTATGACCACTGTGGTATATTCTTCGCACATGATGGAGTTAGGGGGAGGATGTGCATGTGTAGCTCTGTGTATGGGTTTGTCTGCAGCTAATTAATTGCTCTACTGCAGCTTAAATATATTTAATTGCTTAAGGTGGACTTCATAACTGTAATCCCTTTCTGGAAATGAAGTGCTAGTCTAGTTTCAGCTTATGAACCATGAAAATTACTTTATACAGAACAATGGATGAGGCTGTCCAGACATTCAGTGGACACGTCTGACCAAGCTGAACCCATCAAAATACGCTTGGACATTTGGTCAATTTTGTTCTGTAATTACTGTCCAGACCAGGGAACAAATAACCGTCTAATCTTTTTAAAATTTTGACGCCTGTCTCCTCTCGCTTACCATATTTGATCTGCGCGATGTCTCCCACTACTATGTCGGCCACAGGCAGCTGTATGACCTGGCTCCCGCGGACCACCTGGAACTTCTGCTCCTGTTCAATGCGACTCTGCAGTCCACGAAACTGCTTCTCCTTGGACCAGTCGTTGAAGGCCGTCACCAGCACCACGCATACTACGGACAACAGGATGGCGGCGCCTTCAATCCAGCCAGCATCTGCCTCACCCTCGTCCTCTACTCCACCTGCCGCCGCGCCACAGGCTGTAGAACAGGAAGAAGAAGAGGTCAAATATTTGTGTTGTATATTTGCAGGCACCCTTTGTCTTCATACGTGCGACTACAGAATTCTGTCTGCTGGATGTCAACATACAATTTTTGTTAGTGACAGAAAGTGACAAAGTCAGAGCCAAGATGGCATTAAACATTCAATCAGTACATATTTTACATTTAAATAAAAATCTTTTAGATGCACATGTGCAATCCCTCAGCCTATGTAGAATGCGTGAAATAAAAAAATAAAAAAAAGAAGACAACTCTGAAATGAAATGAACTCTAGCGGGTATAACCTGAAGTGATTTCACTTCTCCTCAACTGTATTCATTTGCTCTACTTCAAATGAAGCTCTGCAGTCTGCTGGCTGTTCACTGTCAGACAGGGTATATTTGGGAGTGAAACAAGGCCTATTCCCAGTCCTCCATGTAATTCTCTGGGAGCTATCTACATTCCTGACTAACTGACATCAAAAGCCCACAGTGGAGTGATTTGCTTTGGACTGTAAAATACTTCTTGCTCACAAGGGAACTAACAAAGACCCCATGTTAGACACATTCCCTATACAGGAACTGATTTAAACAAGAACTAGAACTCAAAAAATAATTTGCGCCTACAGGTTAATTGCAAAGTGTCTCTACTCAGTATAAGTTTCATGAAGTACAGACACTGTATTCAGTTAGAGAAGACATCTTCCTTGATCCAGTACCAGTGCACATATACAGGATGCACTCATGCATTCATGTATGTTTTAGCTAAGTGACATATTTAGGTAAACCAAACTAAATGATTTTATTATTGCTGTTGTTTTGACACTGTGCTGTACAATGCTAAGATTTCCATGATTTTAAATCATGACAGCACATACAGATTCACATGACTGTGCCAAGTAAAGAAATCAAAACTAAAATGTGACAGTGCAGTAGACGTTATGCTTCTGGCTTAGTGTAATGGAATGAGTTTAATCTGTCGTGCTCACTCACTGCACTACATGAACAGTTATACAGCGAGCATAGTAGCTGTCCATGGTCCTGATCGTACAGTCTTCAGTATCCAGACATGTCAGTGTCTCTCACAGACAGAAACACACAATCCCTCTGCACAGCTGTAGCTGTCCATAGTGCTGAAATGTCAACAAAAGCACCAAATATTATAACAAATGCTGCTGATTGAGAAACTTTAATAAAAGGGTAGTAAGTAAATGAATAAATACATGTCTATAAGCTTCAGGGAGACTTTAATATTAGTTTTGTATTGTTCACAGTTGTGTTTAGCTGCATGTTGCGTACTTAGCAAAGACATACTTCAGAGCCTCTTCATTCTACTGTTGCCAAGCTGTTTCATATGTAAATGAAAATTAAGTCAACCCACCAGCTTCTATTTCTGGACCATTGAGCTTTTCTTGACCTATTAATAAACACAACTGCAGTGAGAGATGACTGCATGTGTGTGGACGGTGAGTGTGGGGGTCTTAGTTCATTATTTCTTACTTTCATCTGTCGTAGAGCTGGACAAATATATCAGAGAACAATATTATTAGCTCATATTTGCTTATCACAGAATTTTGGTTATTTTTCTCCTGCATTGAATTTAAAATATTTTTAGTGCATAAATGTTTTGTGCATGTTATTGTTGTTTCCATAGAATATCTTTAAAATTACTGTTACTTTTTAGGTCGAACTTCTTTTATTTAGTCAAAACAGGATTTTGTTTTTGTTTCTTTTGTATAAAAAACTCTTTGTCTGTAACCTTGATTAGGAGACAGTAAAGTCAGCTGTAAAACATCCTACCGTAGCGCATATCTTTGTCACAGCTGTTAAAAAATAAAAATTTGAAGGATCATTGCCAGACAGTCTGATGATTTGTATACAGGACTATTGGTGGATATCAACTTAAATACCACCCTTGTTGTTACTTTGTCTTTTTATGGGTCAGAAAAGTAAGCAGCATTAGGTGGTCACTTGTTTCTGCACAAAATGTCCTTCCATTCCTTTGGTTTCTGTCTTTCTTCGACAACACACAAACACAACTGTTTTTCTGAATAAGGTGACTCAAAGTGCTTCACATTCAGATCTTTCTAATATGCTTTGCTTTTCATATCTATTTATAACTGCTGTGGTTTCATTCATATGCATTCAGATGCGAGAAAAGACTTGCACATTGGCACCTTCTTTTTGCTGCAAGTTAAAGGGAACCTTGATTATGTATCTGCAGATGGACTCGGTTATTAGCATTATGATGCCTCTGGCATTTCTCTGCTTTATTTGGACTCAGTGATGCAGGCAGCTAATTCACAAAATCATACAGCTTGAAAGACGCAAAGGAAAGAGGCGAGTGTGTAGGTAGGAGTACTGTTTATAACTGAAGATCACATTTTATGTAATTTACTACGTAACTATTTGCCTAATTGAGTAGATCGTCTCTACTAAATTCTGCGCCACTAAACTATGTATTGACTCTGAAATTATTTGATGAACTTAACTTTGTAGTTAAGAAGGTGGTAACTGCTTCCTCTTTCTCTGGTATTTCCAGCTTTATGAGAGTTTTAAACCCCCTAAAATGATGACTGGCCCCTTTGGCAGGGTAACCGAATTCCATTACTGTGATAACACTGGGAGCAATGACTGATGCCGTTGACTCAGCACCTCGTTATGGTCTCTGTCTTCATTTCCTGTTTCACAGCTCACAGGGCTGATGTATGGGCCCTGGGAGCTCAAGGTTATTTCTCTACTCAACACTTCATTAACCTTCCCAGTACCTTTCATACACACATTTAACACAGCCACGATGCACACAGATGCATGCACACCAACACACACAAATGCACATATGAAAAAAAAAAGTAGCCCTATGCTCAATGAATCACTTGACCTCTTGAGGCAAGTCACAAACAAAGTGTGGCCTGCCTTGCAAATTAAAAAAGTGTGAACACATACATGTTGGCATAAGTGTGTCAGTGAGGGGTAGTCATGTTAAGAGGAAGTGATGTCAGTGGGTCAGCGCAATTATAGCCCTATTTCTGCGCACTGCAATAGCGGAGATGGCGCAGATAATAGCGTGTGTGTTTGCGTGTCTATCTCAGGACCTCACGACGAATTACAGAGAGCAGATTCTGCAGAAAGTGATGTCACGGGAGCTGCTTCACTCACACTCTCCACTGCTCTCTCCGGGAGGGTGGTAGAAGGAGAGGCCCAGGGAGATCAGGGCAGCAATCTCCAGGATGATGAGTGTGACGTCCTGCAGGGCCTCCCATACCAGCTGCAGGAAGGTTTTTGGCTTTTTTGGAGGTATCAGGTTTTTACCAAATATTTCTTTTCTCTTGTCCAGGTCAGTTTGGGCACCTGCAAGACCTGAGGGACACAGAAAGAGAGAAAAATTAGATATACTGATAGCACAGCACATCATGATGCAATACGCTTTACATTGTTGTATGGTTGACATTATAGTCACACACAGCAATCTGACTTAATTTTATATTTGATTCAAGAAAAATCAGAAGCAACCCCCCCGAAACAACAAGTGTTTAAATTCCCAGCTGAAAAATGAAAACATCCTTTTATAGTTTCTGAGATTTTTTAGTGTTAAAAGCACCAAACTGAAGCCAGTTTTGTAACTGATCTTTTTTCTGATTTCCTATTTTCTGCTTTTCTTCTTTCTCACTCTCAAACCACACAAAACCATCTCTAATTACCAGTTTGAGTCATGGTGGGCCACAGCTCTACATTCCTTATATAATTCTGTTCAAGAGATGAGGGCCTTATGCTTTGACCTCATCCACCTCCTCATACACCATGAACTATTGCACATAAATATCTTTTGCTCTTTTGTGTGAAGAACTTCTTACTGGCTTGAGGCACAATTTACTTTTAGAATACTGCCCAGAAAATAAATAATTTTCATACAGGAGGTTAATTGCATCAAATGCAGTGTTTTTGGCAGGAGCTATGGTGATTTTGTGATCCAAATAAAATGGCTGACTTAGAATAACAAAACATTATGTTCTGTGTATGCGGTGCCTTTTGTTCAACAATACTTTCAACGAGGACATCATTTAGGGTTGGTTTATTCTCCTAGAGTTTAGTACACACCTCGGCCTTGGGGTCACATTTCTGCACGTTTTCAGTAAAGCACAGAAAACGTTTTGCAAATGAAAACACCCTCATCGAGTGCCTCAGTGACCACAATTCAACAGTTAAACCAATGAAATGTGGCATACAGTCAATGAGGGAAGATAAATTGACTTGTGATGTATACACTCTCAGGTATAAAATTAATCAAATAAACATAGACATTGAGACAAGTGCAACCTATTCATAATTAATTTAAATGTACCAATTCAACCAGCAGTGCAGTTTTGGCTATATAGAATTACTAAACTTTCTCTTTTAGTCAACACTGAGGAGACCGGAATGTTTTTTGAATATGCTAATAAATTGCAGCTGAATAAAGTTTAGTGTGAGCTCCACATGGTGCCAGGTCAACTGACCCATACGAATAGAGAAGCTGCAGGTTCTGGCTGCTCTGGCTTCCAAATAAAATGTGCAATGTGAGTTACCACATCGTACAAAATTAATACAAAATGCACAGTGTCTGCCCACCTTTAAAGGTCTGTAAAGTGTTGCAGGTCATGGCACTTAGTTAGACCTTTAAAGGCTAATCCTAATGGCTGCAGTAGCTGACAGACAATAACTGGTACATTGCCAAACTGCTCAGGGTGAAACTCACGCTCTATAATTTCCATTCTGCTAGTGTAAGTACGTAGACATAAATAGATTCTCACTGTCATTGTTGGATCACAGGCTGTATTGAACGGATGTCTCATACTGCACCAAATGTTACATACCAAGCATATGCCTACTGTTACACCCCTATTCTGCCACTTTTATCTGCATTCCAGTCTGACATCATGGACATTAGACTTCTTTGGCCTCCAGGCAGTTCTTTATAGCGCACAATATTCATTTTATTAAAGCAAATTCTTTACAGTTGGAAATTTTTGCTTTATGATTTTTGCAGTTTTTCTGAATCCAAAGCAACACTGACAATGATCACGTTCTGCGCAAAAGGGTTCAGCCTGTACAGTTTTTGTTGTATTGATTTTTTTCAGGGGGTCAAATAACAGCCCCATTTGACAAAACTGCACTGCGATTGATTCTATATGTTTTATCTGGATTCTAATCTGAAATAATGGAACTTTAATGTAGGTATAGCATGCCATATTACTGCACTATATAAATAAATGGTCATATATCTAACTACCTTTGTTGCAGCTACAAGGGAAATCACTCTTGAGTCAGAAACTGCTGTGGACTATAAACTATATGTACATCAAACATTCCCATATTGAGGTAGCATTAGGTGCATTATGCACGTTAATGGTCTCTGTCTTCAGATAAAATTATTCATGAAAGATAATAGGTGTAGAAACAACATTCTATCAGTGTAGAACCATTATCTGTTTGCTGAGCGCACACATAAGCACAGTGTGCATTTCACAGTGTGTGTCTCTCTCTCACAGACATGACCACACCATTATGTCATGCAGGGTGCGTCACTGGGTCTCCCAGGAGTGGCCCTGGATTGTACCTGATAACATTGGTGCTGCATGACAATGCTACACGTGTCAACTCATATACCAATGACTTAACATCTACAGAAAACAACTGATCTTCTATTTGATGGCGGAAAAAGCAGGAGAAAGGCGATGACGTGAAAAAAGTAATATTTAAATATTTCAAAAATGAGAGAAAATGAAAAAAAAGAGAGAGAAGGAGCGACAGAGAGGGAGAAAGTGAGGACAGAAGGAGGGCAGGCTGAAAAGAGAACAATTCCCACCTCCTACGTTGGAGAATGCCCTGGTTACAAATAGATCAGTCTATAAATAGCCTCATTATCCATTCTCTTTTAATTGTCTCTGCTGTGGAGATCAATGGGAGAGCATGCTAGGTCTCCTCACAATCTGCCTCACATCATAAGCACACACATGTTGGTGTGTGTAGATGTGATTGCGCGAGTGTGTGTTTGGGTCCGTGAGTCGTGACCACCTGCGTGTGCGTCGTGTGTGTAATAAGGCTGGTCATGCATGTCTGCGGCTGCTTGTGCTGTCACAGGATAAAATTACAGCTGATATTATCCAGCATTAGCCAGTTCAAGTTGGTTACACATGCACATATACACACGCAAACAAAGGCAGCCATGTAATGTATATGAATTTGTATGCATGGATGCACACATTTGTGCATATTCACGTTTAGCTTTGTTTAACTTTTTCCCCAGGTTAGAAAAATGTCAAACACAGCTTTCATTCATATTTCTATCCAATAATCCATCTACAGATATGTTTTTTTTTTTTCCTTTCCTATACGGAGGTCCAAACAGCAGATACACATGCTTATCCTCAGCTCCACATTTATTGCATCTGTTCAGGGACTCAGGGGCTAGTTATAGCATGCAAAACACCATTCTGCACAGGGGCGGCAATCATTTTACATTAAATTCCAACATACTCTGTGTAATGGTGCCTTGGTTAAGAATGACTTTTAACCTTGTCAGATATCTAAAATACATTCTCCTTAAATGCCCACGAGATGTGAACTATGCTGGAATCAATCTCCCTAATCATTAAATACTCAGTGCTTCCAGGAAAAGCCTCTGCTATGTTATCATTCCTTCCTGGATCGCTGATTACAAATACTGCTTACTGAAAAAGATTAATTTGCCAGATTATGAAATATTGCAGGCTAAATACTGTCAGCCCACCTAACTGCTCTGGCAATGGATTTTGAGGAGGCAGTGAGAGGGCAGAAAAACTGTGGTGATACACAGATTAGTCATAGCATTCTCAGAAAGGATTAAGGCTGATTGCAAAAGGAGTCTTTGTGCGACACTTCATTACCAAATAGTGAAGCCGGAACACAACAAACTCACTGACTTCAATAACTGTTGTTAAAATATAAAGAAAAAAAAAAAGGCATGGCTGAATCATTTGTCAGAACACCTATGGAGTTATAACATTTAGAATCAGAATCTAACTGGAATTACTGCACTTTATCAGTCAAACAAATTAATCAGCTAATTAAATCAAAATCCAATTAAATCTGCATTGTGTCCTCTGTACTTCTGACTTGGAGAAAAGTGTCCCCATGACTTCTTACCATTGCTGCCTTGATAACTTTGACTCTTTATACTTTTGCATTGACTCTCCCCTGCCATGTCTGCAACACTCCATGACTTTAACGCTCCCCACACTGGCTCCCTGTTTGCTATAAAATTGATTTCAAAATCCTGCTGTTTATCTACAAATTGTGCTATCTCTGAAGCTGTTCCAAAAAATGTGGAGCTGTCTTCCAGCTACTATTTGAGGCTTTGAGTCATTAGCTTTTTAACTGTACCAAAGTTAGGTAGCTCCGATTTTACTGCTGATATCTTTGTGGGTCTGCGTTATCACCATGTGCCATGTATGACAACGTGACTGTTGTCTGTGTTGACTCTCAGTTAATAAGGTCCTGGTTGGTCATTCAACAACTTTAGTAAAAAGCTACTGGACTTCTCTTTTTGGTTGATTTGTTTTTACTGATGATGGGTCAGGTGAGTAAGGTACCTTTACTCTTAATCTTAAATCTCTTACATCCTCCGGTTTTCCTCTGTGTGCAGTACAACTGTGGTGAGTAAAGTGCTACATATGTCGACTATATATATTAAATGTACAAGATTAATGATGGGAATAAATAGGAAATGCCTGGTATGATGGATTTGTTTATTTTTATTTTTTTAGTACAGTTCATTGTGATGTTATTAATTAAGGTTTGAATGGTAAAATTTATAGTAATTTAATAGACAAACTGGCTCTAAAAGCGGCTGCAAAGTGGCTCGGTGGTTAGCACCATTGCCTCGCAGCAAGAAGGTCGCCAGTTCGCATCCCAGTGAGGACACCCACATCTTTCTGCATGGAGTCTCCATGTTCTCCCCATGCAGCGTGGGTTCTCTCCGGGTTCTCCAGCTTCCTCCCACACAGTCCAAAAACATGTTGAGGTTAATTGGTGATTCTAAATTGTCTGTAGGTGTGAATGTGAGTGTGCTTGGTTGTCTGTCTCTAAGTGTAGCCCTGTGATAGACTGGTGACCTGTCCAGGGTGTCCCCTGCCTTCACCCTCAGTCAGCTCCAGCCCTCCTGTGACCCGAGTGAGGATGAAGCAGTGAATAGATAATGGATGAATTGATGGATGGCTCTAAAAGAAACGTCTCTGCTGTCGTACCACAAAGTTTGGCACTGAGGCTAAACAAATGCTCCTTCCTCTCACTATAATGTTTTTACAATAATATATTGTTCCATTAAAAGTCCAATGATGAAG